GGGGGGGGGAGAGAGAGAAGGATTTACGTTTAACTCATCTTGGACTTTGTGATTTAAGATGATGTTCAATGAATAACAAGTAAGTTCCGAAAGGAGAGTTCAAGTTCACTTTCACTGACTGGTTTACTGTCAGGATAAGAGACTACTATTTTTAGTTTTAAAAAGAGGTTTATGGTACATGTACTTGCAACACAATAAAGCCCCAAAAGATTAGAGGCGATACAAGAGAGTAAGAAACACAAAAAAAGAAGTAAGAGAGATGAGACCGATAGAATGTTTGATATGGACGAAGGAGCAAACCACACCAGAGCACCCATCAACCACCCGTTAAACCCCTCAACGACAAAGGTGGGTCTTTGGCGGGTGCTTGGTGTGGTTTGTTTCTTCTTTCCTATCAAACATCTCTCGTCCTTATCTCTCCTCCTTTTTTTGTGATTGTTACTCTCTTGTAACACCTTTAATCTGCGGCACTTATATCACCTTAGTGTGTTGCAAGTGCCGTAAAACACTTACTAAAACTAAAAAGACAAAGTCGAATGAAAGACTCCACTCCGGTGTCTGTGGAGTAGCTTTTAGTCTTCTTGCTGTAGCACACAGAGGCATGAGTTCGATTCCCAATGAGGAAAATGTTAAAGGTTAGGCTACCTCTATCTACTGTGACGTTGTATCCTTCTCAGTCCGGACTGCTGGCCTTGACAGGCAAGGACGTTAGTATCCTATATCCTAATACACATGAACTGTGTGTATAGTAGAGCTGGGCGACGAATCGATTCCGGAACCGTTTACCACGATTAATGCTACGGAAGAAAAGTATGGCCTCTTTTTTATGAATACCAAAGGATCTTCTTCTTTATTTAAAGAATTTACATTTGAAAAATAAAAGTGATACTTTGTAGTATTCCAAAATCAAGGTTATCCTAAATCCTGAAGATGTTTGGAGCCAATTAAGTAACCACCGGAAGAAATCACATCATTAGAAAGTAATGAACTGGGTTCGGGGTCGATTCCTACGATTCCTAGCTTTCAACAACCGGGAACCTAGCCGCCCAGCACTAGTGTATAGAGGGGACAGACAATTTACAGTTTATGGACCTACACTCTATCACAGAACGTTCGAGCAGGGAAATAAATGGTAATCCATTATTTACATGTCTGATTCACATCTTGGTAGGTGTTATACGGCGAGCGCAACTCCACAAGGTCATAATGAGTGCACGGGAAACATAAAACGTTTTCTGTTTGGAATGGAAATAATTTTTGCTCTAAGAGTCAGGGGCACAGAGGAGGGGGGGAAGGGAAAG